GTTAACACATCAGACTGTAATTGCAACTGTTGTGGAAAATAACAACAAAATCTGGGGGCTGAGCTAAACAAAATCTCATAAGGGGATAGGGAGTGTTCTTCTCTGGTGTGTATCTGACACTAAATAGGGCAATAAACAGACTGTCTGGCCAACTCATGCCAGTCTCTTGGGCCATTTTTAGCATTCTTTCTATTTTCCCACTACTTTTGGGGGTGATAGGGGGTATGGAACGCCAGAGTGACTCCTAATGCCGCCCATATATTCTTTGGTTACTGAAGCTGTGAAGGCGGGGCCCTGGTCACTCTCTATCACCTCTGGAAGCCCATATCTGCATACAACATCAGTCAGTGGGAGTTTCTTCGCAGTTGTTTTAGCAGTCATGTTAGTTACAGCAAAGGCCTCTGGCCAACTGGAAAACATGTCGAACACCACTAGGGTGTACTCAACCGCCCCACTCTTTGGCATCTTGATATGATCAATTTGTATCCTATGAAAAGGGTATAGGGTTGGCAAAGTGTTTCTGTGGTGTCTTCTCTGTGCGTCCCGGATTGCACTTTGCACAGATGGCACATTGTTCTGCAAAAAATTGTTCGTCAATGTGGTGATTCCAGGCGCGCTATATAGTACTTGTTGATGAGAGAGTTCATGAGGCTCTTTGACAGATGGGCTGCTCCGTGTGCCCACTGGACTACAGCTGGAAACATATTTCTTGGGTAAAACAAAGCCTCTTGTTGCACTCAAACAGACCGTCTTTGAGAATAGCTCCTCTCCGTCTCCAGCTCTCTTTTTTCTTCTGGACTTGCTGCTTCTTGGAGTTCCTTGAGGTAGTTTCTGTCCACAGGTAAGGTCTGTAAGGGTGAACATTGGTTCCCACTCTCCGGTCACCTCTCCTTCCATTTCTGGTGGTCCCATGGCCGCTCGTTTTGTCCAAATCTGCCAGATTATTGCCTTTGGCTTCTGAGGAGTTTATTTTTCCCATGAACTTTTTACCTTCAGAAATTTAGCCACTTGAATGGGTAGAAGGAGTGCTTCCAGCAGTCGTCCAATGGTTGCTCCATGTCTTATGGACGTACCTGCCGCAGTCATAAATCCTCTTGCCTTCCAAGTGGGTGCAAAGTCATGGGCCACCCCAAAGGCGTATCTGGAGTCTGTGTAGATATATTGGCCCTTTTTCCTTCCGCCATCTGGCATGCTGTTGTGAGTGCTTGAAGTTCTGCTCCTTGTGCAGATATTTGCTGGCGATAGGGCTCTTGCCTGTAGGACTGTGTCTGCAGTAGTGACCGCAAATCCTGTATAATATTTGCCTCCTTCATCTGCATATCTGGAACCATCAACAAAAGAAAGTAAAGTCTGGATCCTGCAAGAGGTGTTTCACTCACTGTGGGGAGATGGAAGATTTCCATTTTCATCACTTCAAGACAATTATGAGGCTCTGTGGCTCCATCATCCTCTCCACTTTCTGCATTACCTTCATTACCCCCCCTCAGCAATTGGGAGGAGAGTGGCCGGATTCAGGGTTTGGCAACGTAGGAGAGTGACGTTATCAGGAAGGTGGAGGGAACACTGTAGTCTAAGATGCCTCGCTGTGGACAAATGTTTAGGTTGGACTTGGTTTAAAATGGCAGCAATGGCATACGGTGCCAGAAGAACAAGTTCAGGTCCCAGTACGATATCAGAGGTCTTATCCAGCAGAGCTGGAGCAGCGAAAAAAAACTGCACGCAGACACAAGGGTGCTCCTCTAGCCACTGGGTCTAAACGGCATGAGTAGTAGCCTACAGATCGTAGGCAGTCTCCGTGGGGACTGGGCCAATACTCCTGTGCCATGGCCTTGGCGTTCAGACATGAACAGTTTGAAAGGTTTCTCGTAGTCTGGTAGACCTAGGGCTGGGGCTGAAGAAAATAAGCGTTTTAGAGCCAAAAAAATTGGAGTCGGCCTCTTCGGACAGATGGAAGGGCTCAGACTTGAGAGCATCGTAGAGTGGTTGCATAAACCAAGAAACATCAGGAATCCATGACCTACAGTAGGATATGAGGCCAAGAAAGGCATGCAATGGCTTCTGGCCTAAAGGGAGTGGCAAGTTCTGGATGGCCTTAACTCTTTCCTCCGTAAGATGCCTTGTTCCATGTGAGAGGCAGTGGCCCAAGAGTACGACTGTTGTAGAGCACCATTGCAACTTCGGTTTAGAGGCCTTACAGCCTTGGTGTGCCAAGTAACATAGTAAACTCTCTGAGGCTTCTTCAGCCGTGGGCAGGTCATCAGCACAGAGGAAAAGTCATCCACATATTGAAGAAGGACCACTGCCGAATGTTCCTTTTGCCACGTGCCCAGTATGGTGGTCATTGCTTTGGCAAACTGACTCAGGGAATTTTTGCGCCCCCTTGTGGCATAAACTGCCCAGGTGTATTGCTGCCCCTCATGGATAAAAGCGAAGAAGTATCTGCAGGGAGGATACAAGGGAACGCTGGAGAATGCAATGCATTTGCCAGGTCCACCACGGTGAATTACTTTGCTGTTGGAGATACCCCTGTGAGTAAAGTGTGGGGATTTGGAACGATAGGTGTCTCTAAGACATTGGCTTCATTCACTGCTCGAAGGTCCTGTATCATCCTGTACTTCTCTGGTTCTCCTTTTGGTGTCTTCTTTTCTTATCGGGAACAAAAGCGTATTACATGGAGAGGTACAAGGTATGAGTACACCATTTGCCACAAGGGACTTGACCTGCTTCGAAATGGCCTTGGATTGCGCTGGTTTCAGTGGGTACTGTGGTTTCCTGGGTAGGGGAGCTCCAGGCTTCAGTTCCACCATAATTGGGGGTACCTTTTTAAACGTCCAATATCTTCGGGTCCTGTGGACCATAGACAACTTGGGATTCTGCTCAGCACATCCGGTGCTACGTAGAATATACCATTGACTTGTAAGACCAGACACACTGGGTAGAGGCGGCTCACTCAAGGCGTTGGCCTTCCATTTGTCTAATTTGGTGTACCAATATGGCCGCCTCCAGGAAGTGTACTGGGCTGGGCAGGAAGAGACAAAGCAGGAGCAGCAAGATGGCTGCCTTCAGGAAGTGTACTGGGCAGGGCAGGAAATGACAACACAGGTGTAGCAAGATGGCTGCTAGCAGGAAGTGTACTGGGCAGGGCTGGGGTTATGGGAATAAAGTAGGTGTTAGACAAAAGGGCAGGGCTGTCCCTTTTCACTTTTATGATACATTATACAATCGCCATTTTATTGAATTTTCTTCCAAAACTATCCTTTATGCAACGCTTTTACAGTTTTTTTTTTTTTTTTTACCAAGCTTCTGTCACGTTCAGCAAACCTTTTTTCACATAACATTCCTCTCTGTTCCTACAATGATTTATGCCAGTCCTGACTTTCAGCTTACAAACTTTCGCTACTTTAGATAACTTTTTTAACTGCTTCACTTCCTTCACAATATGACATGCCAGTAATCTTTTTCAATATTTTAACACATAAACTGTTTTTTTTTTTTTTTTCCCTGTAGCAATACCTGTTCTGTCCACTACTCTTTGTGGATAACTTCGCTACATTATTCCAAACTTCTTGCTGTCTTCAGCACATGTTTGTCAACTAAGACATCTTTTTTTTTTTTTTCTCATACCTCCTTATCTTTGATTCCACATACTTTCTAACTTAACTAATCCCTTTAACATACTGCTCCCCCTCCCCTCTGTGCAACCAGGTCACGTGCTAACATTCCTTTCTAGGGGTCTTATCAGCGTCTGACCCATCTCCTCCTGTCTCTGGTCCTTCCTAACAAATCTAAGACACTTCACAGGCTGCTGTCCAGACTTTCCTTAACCCTTAACAAACCCCAACCTTCTGTTATGAATGGCAAACATTAGCTTACAGACACACATTTAGGACATAACATAGCAGTCTATCTTGGTGGGCTATGAGTACAGATTACTGAGTAACTCTTCCTAGCCCCAAAAATGGCTAGGGCACCCCGCTGTCACACTACCGTGACGCATATCCGACACCTTCCTCTGTTGTGGTCAACACACAAGGTTACCACACACCCAGAGAAATTATGTGTCAAAACCCTCAGTAGGTCCACTCCTCTTCACCTCAAGACTGATACATAAAAACACACAACAGAGACCCAGGTAATAGATAAGCACATGCAGGTATATGTAAATAAACTCCGGGCATACAAGGTTACCTGCCTTTATTGACCTTTAGCAGCCGTACTAGGCACAGGTATGAATCAACAACAAAGACAGGATAAGCAATGGTAAGATAGCAAAATATATATCTTACCATGCTCCGAGAGGTGATCAAGCTCTCCGGCCTGTCCAGTTTGACTGACACCGAACGCCTTTTCATGGCGTGCTGGCTGCAGGTTCATTATTCAGTTCCTGGGTTTCTTGGCACCAAATTGTTTTAGTCATGGACTTAATCATCCAGTGCTTATCTGTTCCTGTCCTAATTTATGATGCTGGCCAGCTTTTGGAATGTGCGCACATGAAGAAACTCACACTGACACGTTTGGTCTGTGAAAACTTCTCTCTAATTTATTGAAATGAAACCGTGAGCTTATATATGAAAAATGATGCGAACATCATGTGATAACAGCATAAGCATTATATTAGTCTTTGATTGGTCACTTTACACGAAAAACAATCTCCGTCATGGTATAAAGTGTGATCTTCTTCAGTCTTATCTTAAAAAGAGAAAAACATTATTTTGCCTTCCAAATCACACGATGGGAGGGGGTCTGTTCCTGTGAGCAAATATTTCTTAAGCAAGGATTTCTTAAAGTACCACAAAGCCCAGCAGGCAGAAAATATTCACACAAAATATGTATTAAAGTATAAAAGTAAATATTTATAAAACTTATAGAAAATAGCATATATATATATATTCAATAGGAAATGAAATAGGCATTTTACCAAATCCATCACAGACTGATCATTAGTGGCATTTTAGGAGGTTTGGGGTGGAAAAAAAAACAACAAACAAAAAATTCCCAGCTCACATACCAGCCAGCCTGCAACAAACCAAATGAATCTTCTTACGTTTGGCAGCTTTTAGAGTTACAACCATGGCTTCAAAAAAATTAGCACATTGGTCATCATTAAATAATACACCGAATTTTACTTTCAGTTTCCCATACTTGTCTCTTGTGCCAAGACGATGGATCTGTTCCACCAAGACTTCATGGTCTACATTCATTATCTTGCACTCACCCAGTAAGTTTGCCTAACAGTTCACCTTAAAAAAAAGGGGTTTAGTTTGCACACATTTGCAATTATATACATTTGCTGCAGAGGCCACATCATGGCTCCCCAGTGTACTGCAGTTCTAACTATGTATTTTGAGAGTCTCCAAAGTTAGAGCACATATATATTAATGGATGGATTGAGGGCAGGTATACCTGGAGGGAACCTACCCCTCTTTTAAAACTATGAAGATGCACTGACCACCCAGCAATAGCCCAATGACAGCAAAGGTATGCAGTGTGTCTCCCTGATAGACAGGGTAATCTGGTTTGTTGCAGACTAGCTGGTAAGTGAGCTGGGAATTTTTGTTTTTTTACAAGCGTTGCTCTTCTATATGCTCCTTGCTGCAAAGGCCAGTTACAGTATAGGTTGGGGTGTTGGGGTGGTTGCCATTTGTTTGTACTGTTGGTTTGGGGTGGTCTAGCAGGTAACTGCTAAAGTTTGTAGACATTTATTATACCATAGTTAAGGGATTTCACTGCTAAAGTTCCAAAAAGGTATTGAAAGCCATTGAGTTAGTTAGTGAGCCTACATCCATCCATAACTGAAACATATAATATAAATGGCTTGTAAACTAAAATTGAATAGGTTGTACACCAGCAGGGGCAGACTGACAACTCATGGGGCCCCCGGGCAATAGGGGATCATGGGGCCCCTGTGTCTTTGCCCAAACTGAAAAAAGCCTATGAAAAAGGTACCAGGAGCATCTCATGGGGCCCCCTACTGACCCCGGGCCCTCGGGCAGTGCCCGAGTTTCCAAATGGTCAGTCCGCCCCCGTACACCAGTGTTTATAAAAGCTTTACTATAACTGTAGGATTTGCAACACAGTCTCGCCTGTCCACCTTCTGCTGCAACACGTTTCAACCCACAAAGGGCCTAATCATGGAGACCAATATAGATTCACTTTTATGGTAAAATTCCTATGAGCTGTTTTCCACCCTTCTGAATCTGTAAATATTCTACATACATGTGTCAGGTAAATATTCATGTGTATTCAAGTATATTAAATTGTAAGGCGCTTTGTAATACCCAAGCCTGCTTTTTAATATACAGTATAATTATTTGGACAATGGATTCCATGGTGATACAGCTAGATATATTTTCCAGGGTTTTTCTTTTCTGAAATCCTTTAAAAGACATCCTCCTTACAAAAGATGAAATTGTTTTGACAAATAACAAGCCTTCATTCCACACAGCCTGTCATGCATTTCGAACCTGGAGACAATCATTTGCAGTGAAAGTTTTTCCCATCTCAACACTACCAATACAATCCGAGGAAATGATTATATAAGCGAGGAAAGGAGCTTTACAAAAGAATGCTCCACTTTACATAGGTAGTGTGAATAGATACAAGAAAGTATATGTATATCAGAGGAATTTATTCTACAGTGTCCTCCACCAACCTTTTACAGATTGTTCTGTATGCCATGCATTGCCTATGCACATGTGGGACCTTAGGAGCACATTTATGAGTAACAAGATAATTTAGACACATTTTCTTCATGTGTATCATTGAAACCCAGTACTAGTGACAAGTGGGGGTACCTGATCCAGGTCTAGGTGCCCTGGATTTAGTGACATCCTCCCAATGAGCAGGATTTGATGGGCAGAGGGATCTCCTGTCCAACAGTGCCTGCATAGTTCCAATGGCAGTGCCAAAGGTGTAGGTTGTGGAGCCTCTCCTCTCTCAGGTGAAGAGCCACTTAAAACCAATGATCTATTTAGCTCCCACTGACAAATTTAGGTTGGCCACCCGACCAAGGACCATTAACAGAAGCACTTCATCATGACTGCTTATGTTAGGGGGCTGCTTTGCTACCCTGGTCCCAAATATATACTGTAGGTCTCCACTGACCACACATTTATAGAAGCACTGTACAGTCGTCTTTGCCACTGATCACCAATATAGGAAGGAACTTCATCAATGGCCACCAATGTAATTAACCCTTCTTCACTGACTGCCAGCATTAGGGGACCCTTCTTCATTGACCACACATCTATAGAAGCACTGTACTGACCACCAGCACTTTGCCACTGATCACCAATACAGGGAGGCACTTCATCACTGGCCACCAATATAAAGAAACACTTCTGCACTGACCCTCAACATAAGGGGACTCTTCTCCACTGACCAACAATGTCAGGAAGCTCTTATTCACTGGCCACCATTGTAAGGGAGTTCTACACTGACCACTTAGAATAGTGCATACCCAATATATTTAACTGATCCATGCACTCTGCAGCCTATGGTGTACACAACATAATCCTGACCAAAGTCTTTATTGCCTCTACAGTTGCTGGTTGCTAAGTAGTTACAAGCAGTTGTAATTACATTTTTAGGTTTTGGACAAAGTTAGCTTTATATTTTTTATTTTGTGTACCGAAAAACATATGCAATGGAAGAGTTTAGTTAAAAAAATAAAATACTTTGTCTTGAGGTTTGCGCATTTCTGAGATACTCTCGTTTGTGGCACAGTAATTAATGCATATTTTCTGGAGCATATGTATATACTGTATTTGTTTTGTAGGTATATATAGTGAATAGGCTCGGGTTCTACTTACCTATGACACTGTAAGGGCACATTCACACTTGCGCCAGCTCTTACTGCCCCTCTGAAAAGCATGATGGATCCCTTTACAAAAGGCAGTTGACAGGCAGCTGGGAGGAGATTTGTTGCGTCAGCATTGCTAGTTTTAACCTTGAAAAGGCTGCACCACCGTTCTACAACTGTGTACTTTACACACAATTGCAGAGGAGATGCAGCGCTGCTGTTATTTAAATGGGTTGCATTTGGTACTGCCTGCCAAACACAATTTGGGTATAATTTTTGCTATGGCCAAGGCACGTGTACAGCCCCATATGGCTGCCATTGTGTCTTGGGTGTGGGGTGTATGTGCCAGGGCCAGGACAAGGGGTGGGCAGAAGGTGTGACTGCTCTGGGCACAGTGGTATCATGTGAATTGGGGGGGGGGGGGCTACATGGAGATTTCCTACCTACAAGTTGGCAGGAGTAGCGGCAGCATCTTCAGAGTAACAAATATTTGTGCTGGAGAGGAGAGTATTTGTGCCAGGAGGACGAGGAAGAAGAAGATCAAGGCTAAGAAGGGGGTATAGGGATGAATATGTGCTAGGAGGGGGATTTGTACTAGAAGAAGGAAATTTGGGGGTGGCAGTGGCGTACAGTTTATTATGGGAGGCACAATATAGGAGGGTGATTTGTGTTAGGAAGGGGGATTGGGGAGGGGGGATTTATGCTAGTAGGGATGATTAGAGGGGGACTTGTGCTTGGAGGGTAAATTTTTGGGGGAGGATTTGTGGTAGGAGGGGGATTTCGGGGGGTGTGTCGAGGATTTATGCTCAGAGCGAAAATTTGCGGGGTAGAAGACGTGCTAGAAAGTGGGATTTGGGGAGGAAGAGGATCTGAGCTGGGAGGTGGGGATGATGAGGGCAAAGATTTGTGCTGGGTTGGGGATTTCAGGGGAGAGTGGGGAATCTGTACTGGATGAGAGGGATTTTTTTTGGTTAGAAGAATTTTAGCTTGCAATGGGAAACGATGCAGTTGCAGCCAGGGGCAGACTGACAACTCATGGGGCCCCCCGGGCAATAGGGGATCATGGGGCCCCTCTGTCCTTGCCCAAACTCAAAAAACGCCTATGAAAAAGGTACCAGGGGCATCTCATGGGGCCCCCTACTGACCCCGCGCCCTCGGGCAGTGCCCGAGTTTCCAAATGGTCAGTCTGCCCCTGGTTGCAGCTGTTAGCACTATGTCATTACAAGACATAGCAGTGACGTAGATGCTAACAAGAGCAATCATTCAACACAGTCGGGGACCAGGCATCCAATACAGTTTTAAATGTGTCAAATATGAAGATTCTGCCAAAAGCTGCAGATCTTGAGGTCCGCTGAACCACTGGGAGGGGAGTATTAAGAGGCTTCTTTTACAGGCACCTTTAGCTGCATTCTGTAAGCCCTGGTTCACACATACACATTTTGCGATGCGTTTTGAACGGGTTCGGATGACATTATAGATCAAATATATTCCAATTGAGGGTGTTTACATATATGTGGTTGAACAGCAGTGTGGTTTGACAAAAGGGTCGTGTGAGAGTTTTGAGCACTGCGATCTGATTTTGCAGTATACTGAGTTCAATGGGAAGTGCATGAGAAAACGAAGAGAGAGGTATATGAACAGGGGCGGACTGACCATTTGGAAACTCGGGCACTGCCCGAGGGCCCGGGGTCAGTAGGGGGCCCCATGAGATGCCCCTGGTACCTTTTTCATAGGCTTTTTTGAGTTTGGGCAAGGACACAAGGGCCCCATGATCCCCTATTGCCCGGGGGCCCCATGAGTTGTCAGTCCGCCCCTGTGTATGAAACTCGCATAAGAAACGGAGAGATATTCAACCAGAATCGCACATCAAATTGGAGAGCATGTGCTGATAGAATCACAATAGAAAATTGATCAAATATGCAACACATGTGTAGCAAGAAGGACTACCCATCATCAGAGAAGAACTGAAGAGGAAGGCGACCCTGCATGTCACTTTACTAGACTGAAGACTTCTGGAAAAGGATAAGTATGAGGGATGAGGGATTTTTTTTAGAAAGTAATACATAAGGGGTAGACTAGGTGGCTGAGGGGCATGGAATGAAGTTGGACTTTAAGCAAGGGAAAGATGTGAAGAGAGTATACCTTTAAATCCCAACTCCTTCCCAAAAGGTGTACACTCCGATGAGCACATAAGTCAGCTCCATTTATTATCAAAGTATTATTATTACAGAGTATACAAGAGTACCGGCTTTGAGATCATGAAAGAATGTTGTGTGCTTTTCAGTCAGTATTAGTGGTAAGTAATCCAATATTGAAGCATTATCTTCTCCTAACAGCTCTGTGTATGAGCTCCAGTGATTACACCACTCACAAATGTTTCAGGAACTACAAGAAGGCTGT